ACAACAAAAAAAAAGAGGAAAAACGGTGGATGTGATTCTGAAAGTTATGGTTTTCAGGTCTGTGACGTTGTGACAATACCCCCCCTCCCCCCTCCACCCCCCTCCCCAAAAAAAAAAAGGAAAAAGGGAATGTGACGATACCGGTTATGAGGAATTGTGTGCTTATTCAGCAGTTCATGGACAAGCAGTGAGATGACCACATGACAACAACACGAGTACATTCAACACGACACCGACCGTAGGAAGAAGAGAGAGAGAGAGAGAGAGAGAGAGACGCGACACAAGATAATGGAAGTAAAAAGTAACCCGAAAGCGACTTTTTTTTTTTTTTTTTTTTTTTTTTTTTTTTTTTTTTTTTTTTTTTTTAATTTATGAGGGGGGGGGCGCCCCCCCCCCCCCCACCCCCCCCACCCCCCCCCCCCAACCCCCCCCCCCCAAAAAAAAAAAAAAAAAAAAAAAAAAAAAACCAGCTCCACACTTCGACCAATGATTGATTTGCTCAGGCCTGATCAAATATGCCTTATCCAAATTGAATACCCTTCATCAAGAATCAGGGCATATTCACACTACAAGTACCACTTTCCTGAATGTATCTGACCTCAATTACGGCCAGACCTGGATGCATCTATCTGACTGCAATGATCACGTCTAGAGCCTTGCAGGAAAAGTCCTACCTTCTTGCCCCAAATACAACGTAGTACGGTCATTATAGCTGCATCTAGACTGAAAGTTGCACCAAATACATCTATAATGACCGGGCGCTTTATTCGGGTGAAGAGGGTAGTGTGAGTATGCCCTCAGAGGCTCAGACTTTATCCAATGATCCTCATCAAATATGCCTTATCCAAAACATGTTTGCTGACGAGGATTTGCTGACACCTCTGATGATCAAATAACCCTCATCAAGGACTGATCCTTGATGAGGGTTAGTGGATAAGAGGCCTCATCAAATCAGGGGTTCCTTAATGAGGGTTATTGGATCAGAGGCCTCAGTAAAAAAAGAAAAAAAGAAAAGCCCTGACTGGGCCTCGATGAGGCATGCGTGATGGGGCGATTCCTGAATCGCCCGATCCTCGATCAGAGGGGTTACTGAGCGAGGCTTCCGGATACTTGAGGGAGAAAATGCTCTCCACAAGGATATGGATGGGGAAAAAAAAAAAAAAGAGTCTTGTTGTTTTTCAAGTCTTGTGAGTGGAAGTTTCAAAAAAAACATTTCGAGTTGCTCACCATTTTTTATTTTTATTTTTTTCGAGTTGTGTGCTGTCGACGATACAATGCGAATCATATGTTGAACTGTCTGTTGCAGGTGTCTTCTCATTCTTCGTTTATCGGGGCTTTCGGCGGATAAAGAAGCTGGACTCCTTTGAGAGAAGAATAAAGTGATCCTCAACTTATCTCTGCAGACTTTGAAGCGCGAATCATATGATATGTTTCCGTGCTCGCTCTTTTGCAAAACTGTGGTTGAATTGAACTTATCACAACATACTAACATAGTACATACCTCTCCTCCATGGCATGGCATTTGCCGCACGAGCGCTGGGGACCGCAGAAACGAGAGAGAGAGAGAGAGAGAGAGAGAGAGAGAGAGAGAGAGAGAGAGAGAGAGAGAGAGAGAGAGAGAGAGAGAGAGAGATGCAAGAGGTCATTTCATTAATCGGGTATGGAAACAGGAGTAATGATTTTTACTGCTGCCCGTTGTACTACAAGACAAAGGATCACTGATCATGTATCACCAGGTATCAAACTGAGGCCACCAAGTTATTTAAAAGAAGACGACGACGACGACGACGACGACGAAGAAGAAGAAGAAGAAGAAGAAGCACTGCTATGCTGAAGAAGAAGAAGAAGAAGAAGAAGAAGAAGAAGTACTGCTATGCTGTAGTGTTCACACTGTTGAGTGTGAAGTGATGCGGGAACAACCGGCTGCATTCTTTTTGTACATAGAAAAACTCTAATATGGTGCTTTAGCCAGGAGTTTCCTCTGCCCTGTGGATGGATGGATGAAGGTATGGGAGAAAATTTAAAAAGCACCATGAAGCTGGCGGAGAACCGGGAGAAGTGAGCTATGCAGATAAAAAAAACGAGGGTGAAAGGCTGATGTGGAGAAAAGAAAAGAAAAGAGCACAACAACAACAACAACAAAAAAAAAGAGGAAAAACGGTGGATGTGATTCTGAAAGTTATGGTTTTCAGGTCTGTGACGTTGTGACAATACCCCCCCTCCCCCCTCCCCCCCCCTCCCCAAAAAAAAAAAGGAAAAAGGGAATGTGACGATACCGGTTATGAGGAATTGTGTGCTTATTCAGCAGTTCATGGACAAGCAGTGAGATGACCACATGACAACAACACGAGTACATTCAACACGACACCGACCGTAGGAAGAAGAGAGAGAGAGAGAGAGAGAGAGAGAGACGCGACACAAGATAATGGAAGTAAAAAGTAACCCGAAAGCGACTTTTTTTTTTTTTTTTTTTTTTTTTTTAAACACACGCCCCCTGCAGTGCTAGTGGCGCTGATGAAGTAACCCGAATGCGACTAACTTAAAATGATACATGAAGCACGGTTGGTGAAAACAAGTTCCGCCTGGCGATGGACCCTCCCGGTTTCACCTGGCCGCCAACCAGGAACATCAGGGGCCTTTGTCGGTATCAAGGACGATGTAACTATCCTATTTATCTTGTATCGAAGACATCGTCAACAATGTAGCTCTGTGAATTTCACAGAGCTCTGTGTAACGCCGCTCTCAAAAACGTTCGAGTCAAACCACACCCGAAAAAGTCTAGAACAAACTACTAAAAGTCTAAAAAAGCCTAAAAAAGTCTAAAATTGAAACCCAGTTCCGCAGTCTGCACGTGCCCTGCGGCGGACGACAATCGAATATCGTATCGTATTATTCTCTATCCTAAACTAGCGTAAAAAGCACCGAAACCCTCGCACAGCACCACAGTCGTCGATACGCCCACCTGTCTCCAAGAAAACGTCACCCAGCAATTTCGACCTTGGCCAATAGGAAATAATCATATATCTGTTCAAAAAAGGTTCTTTAAAACCCCAAAAAAGTAACCCCAAGAAACCAAACCACCGACCCCTTCTACAACGAAGGGTAGGCCCCTTCCCAGCCCTTGGCAAGCCTCCGGTTCCAACCAGTAAGTAACGAACGGTATCCATTCATCCCATACCCCCCCAAGGCCCAAACTTCCTCGAGACTGACGCCAGTGCAGTATCAAAAAAATCGTCCGGGTAATCCCTTCGCCACAACTCACTTTTCAACGCCAGCAGAAAAGGCAATTCAGCACCATGTAACGATGAGTGGGTTCTAGCACGATGTAGAAAAGAACCTACAACCGCCATTTTTTGCTGTCGGTTCGAGTGGGATCTGAAGTCTTGAATTCCTTGGAATATCAATTTGCCATTCAGATCGCCTCTCTGGTTCTTCATCATAGGCACACATTGCACACCTGCTTGCCCTTCACAAACACGCACACACAACCCAGATAATCCCACTTCTCGTTCCCTCCGGTATGTTCCAAAACCAGGTTTTCGTCGTAACATGAGCCAAAGTGTTCAATTAAGTCTATTCGCCCTGATATAATCGATGGGACTAATTGGGACTAATTGGGGACTAATTGGGACTAATTGGGACTAGACGGGTGGCTCCGGAGATTCTGACTTTTCTTTATTTTTCTTGCGTGCTGTTTCGAAGGGTGTGTAGCGGGAAGCACGGACTGCGATCTGGACTGAGGCAGAAACAGCCAATCACGCTTTAGTATAGGCTGCAGACCGGGGCGGTAGGGGCACGCGATGTACGTAACTACTTAGGGGGCAAGGCCAATACGGCCCTCTACACTCAGCTTGAGGAAGGACTTGGTGGGAAACAGCAAGGCTGGGAGCGGAGGATGGCCGTAGCGCAGTCGGTCGAAACACGTCGAGTTAAGTGTGCATACCGCCTCCTGAGTTAATGGAACGCATGGTTGTAATCTGATTTATCAAAATTACATGTTCAGAAGCATATCCATGCCCTTTGCTGCTGCTTCTTCTTCTGCTGCTGCTGCTGCTTCATCATTATCTGCAATTCTTAAACCAACCAGTACGTTTCCCAGCTAGAAAATCGTCGTCGACGTGTGCATGCTGCCTCAATGCTCGGGAAGTCCCGGGGTGCTGTTTCGCAGCAGATCCTTCCAGGCAAAGCGGGTTGCATGCGAGGCCCATTTTGCCTGGATGAATGTCCAGCTAAAGCACGCCCCGGTGCTTCCGTGCATGCTGCTTCCCCGGTACGTCCCAGGAGTAGTGCATGCTGCAAGCTACTCCGTAAGAGTCGTAGTGTGCAAGGCCCATTTTGCCTGTGGATGGATGTAGCATGCACGACTCTTGGGATGTACATGCTTCTCGAGAGGCTGGGCGAAACCAGGCCCAGCAGTACTTCCCAAGAGCCGTGCATGCTACTTCCCGAGAGTCACGGCAGCATGCACACATAGAGTCGTGGCAGCATGCACACGGCCGGTGACTTCGAATTTCTAGCTGGGAAACGTGCTGGTTGTTTAACATTAAGTGCATGTGTCGATTGTGTTCAAGATAACTGTTGAGCTTGCTTGTACCAAAAAA